GTTTACAGCACTCTGTGAGTTGTTTACTCTGTTTGTTTGTTTGTTTACAGCACTGAGTTGTTTACTCTGTTTGTTTGTTTACAGCACTCTGAGTTGTTTACTGTTTGTTTGTTTACAGCACTCTGTGAGTTGTTTACTCTGTTTGTTTGTTTGTTTACAGCACTCTGAGTTGTTTACTCTGTTTGTTTACAGCACTCTGAGTTGTTTACTCTGTTTGTTGTTTGTTTACAGCACTCTGAGTTGTTTACTCTGTTTGTTTACAGCACTCTGAGTTGTTTACTCTGTTTGTTAAACAAACAAACAGAGTAAACAACCTGACTTTGTGACTCGAGCATGAAGACGGTTCGACCAGCAGCTCCAGGCTGGTTTGGTGAGTTTCATTAAAATCATATAATGTTTAAAGTCTTCAGGGACCCAGGAGCAGGATCCAGATGTTCTCCACCTCTGAGCTCACAGGTCAGAGGAGAGGAACCAACGTCTCAGGAACCAGCTGAACTTTAAAGAGTTAAACTGTTTAACCATCATGAAGAATAAACTTTATTTCTGTTCAAAGTCAGAGAAATAAAAACAACTGATCAATTTAAACAAATAAAAGACAAGTAGAGGGTCTGAGGAACGTCCTCTAACGGGTCCTGGTGGTCCGGTGGTCTGAACCAGAACCAGTCTAATACCAGTTGGTGCAGGAGATCATGAAGCTCATGTCGTCCACCATCCTGTTTCCCATCATGCACTGGGGCAGCTGGCCTGCTGAGTCTGTGGAGGAAACGTTTCATCAGGTTAAAGCTTCCTTCAGTGATGTTCAGTGAAGCTCGGAGGTCCTGACCTTCAGGACCCTCGCTGTCGGGTCTTTCACACTCCGGAGGTTCTTCATCTGGTCTCTCCTCAGGTTTGGTCTCGTGACTCTGATCTCCTCCCATCCTCACCTGGAACAGAACCAGGTTCAAACCAGGTTCAGTTTGAAGACGCTGTCGAACATCTGGTTCGTTTACAGACTGTAAACCTTCAAATAAAAACCCTGAAAACACTCCTGGACTCCTGGACCTGGATCCAGGAGGTTCTCCTGGTTCCTTCAGTGAGGTCTTCATCAGAACCCTGAGGCCCGCCTCACAGGAGAACCCAGCTTTCCCTCCTGGACCTGGTGAATCCAGGTCTTCTGGTGCTTTTCTAAAAGCATTTTTAATTACTTCTTTAACTGTATTTACAAACAACAACAACAACAACAACAACAACAACAACAACAACAACAACAACAACAACAACAACCAGTGAAAATGTTTATTTTACATCGTATTAGGAGTACCGGCCCGGACTCTCCCTGGTCCAGACCCTGCAGCTCTGCAGGCTTCAGATGAAGAGTGAACTTCCTGTTCATAATTAACCTGCTGATGACTGATTATTTGTCTTAATCACTTCCTGCTGTGTGCACTCACTTCCTGCCAGAAGTCTTTAATTAACAGAAACAAAACGAGCTCATTAGGGTCAACTCAGTTTCATGTTTGAACTCATTTCTTTGTTTTTTGTGTCTCTATAAATTTATTTTGTAGTTTTATTGTTGATTTAGCATCTCTGCAGATTTACCTGCATCCTCTTGTTTTCACACAATAAGAGGCTCAATCATTTGATAATGTTCTTCTATTTGCAACATTTCAAATGGTTTAAAAGTAAAAATTAAGTATAATCTGACCTCTGTGAGAAGGTTAACTGAACTAAAACTATGACAGCTGACACACACGGGTCTAAACGCTTCCTGTTGATGTTTTTGTGCCACATTAGCTCCGCCCACAGACCCGCAGAAGCCCCCAAAAATAACCAGAACCGGGATCAGAAATCAGTCTCAGCCCACCTAATCGAGCCCTCTCAGCCCGGGAGGTCGGTTGGTGTCTGTCAGCCGCTGGTTCCGATTAGTTCTCGGTGTTTCCAGGCAGAGAATCCGAACAGACGTGATGTCGGAGAAGACGCTGCATAGATCCTGGAGAGAGAAGATGGATCACTCTGCGCGATATGCGGGAAGGAGTACTTCAAGAGATCCAGGTTTTCTGAACTATCATCTGAGGCGAGTTAAAATGTGACGGAGTGACTCCTCTTCTCATTACAGGACCAAGAGCAACCATGACGTCACGAGAAGAGCCCGACGTGATTGGCTGAAGGCGCCGAGCCTGGTCTCTATGGAGGTTTCTGAGGGAGGAAGGTTCCTGAATTTATTTTGTTTTGGGTTTAAAATAAGAATTTATAGAAGCCAGGTTGTGCCAAAAAGAAAAATGATTAAAAAAGTAAAACAGTGGGTTTATAATTTTGAATTAAAAACATATAAAATACTTTAAAAAATACATTAGTTAGTTTTGTGTATTTGTGACTATTTCATTATTATATATATATATTTTATATATACACATTATTCATCAAATGACTTGTTTTTTTATTATGACATGATCTCATGATTCTCAGTCTTAGTATTTTATTAATGATTTCATAATATATACTTTATCTTCAAAGAAAATTAGGTGAAAATAAAAAATTAATCAAATCTATGCAAATGATTTTAGGTGTTTATCTGTCAGATTAGAACTCATTGTGGATGACTCTCAGCTACTACCACACTAAAGTTTACCTCAGTATTTAAAAATGTGTTATATCTACACTGAAAATAATAAAACACTTAAAAAATATTCTATCATTAAGATAATAAAATATTTAAAAATAAAGTATATGATCATTAAAATTATAGAACATTTAAAAATAAAGTATGTGATCATTAAAATTATAAAACATTTAAAAATAAAGTATGTGATCATTGAAGTACAATGTTTAAAAATAAAGTATGTGATAATTAAAACAGTAAAATGTTTGAAGTATGTGATGATTGAACAGAGTTAGTAAAAACACTGAGCACAGACACACAAAAAAGTTCAGTTTATTCAAACAACAACTGCAGGAGATAAATTCATCAGAGCACAACAAACAGCTGCAACTTTATCAATCAGAGTCGGTTTCTCAGGTCCGTCCCGGGTCAGGAAGTCCAGGTCCAAGGGTCCCTTCAGGATTGTGTACTCCTCCTGGAGCCGTCCGGTCACCTCCTGCAGGTACAGACAAATGTCCAACAGCCTCCTTGTGTCGGACACTGCAGAGGCCGTCAGCTGCTTTGTCCCCTGAGGAGTCAGCTCTGTGCGGAGCAGCCCAACAGAACCTGCAGGGTCCAGTCCAGTTCCTGTGAGAACCACGTCTCCAGGGAGGAGGTTGTCAGTGACGCCACAGTTTTCAGCCAGGTAGCTGTCGCTGACGCAGCCTCGCCAGGCGGGGGACAGGAACAGAATGAGTCCGCGTGGCGAGGCTGCGGTCAGGACTTTGACGGTGTGCTGGTGTTTCTGTGGGCTCCAGGTCTGAAGCCGGGCCATCACGTTCCCGGGTCTGTGGATCAGAACCTCCACACAGTCCAGGATCACTGCCGCCTTCCCAGAAAAGGCTTCCTGAAAACACACCGGAGCGCTCCTCAACAGCTCGGCCCGGGATGGCCACTGGACCAGAGACCCGATCCGGGCGTGCAGAACCTCCACCACCGTCCTGAAGCACGCCGCCATGGTGGGGGCGGAGACACAAAACCGATAGGCCAGGTCCTGCTCCTCCAAGCTCAGACGACACCTCATCAAGGTGGCGACCACCTGCTGAAACGCGCTGAGACCACCTGTGGCCTCCAGGAAGGGGGACACGAAGGAGACCACGTGGGTCAGGACCAGGAAGCTCGGCAGTCCGGTGTAGAACGCCACGCGGTAATTGTCTTCCTGGAAGAAAGCCTCGTTTAACGTCAGAGCGGCGATGTCGTCCTTTAACAAGGAGATGTCCTCCGTCAGTCTGTCCGTCTCCACCTCCATCTCTCTGATGGCCTCCGACTTCAGCTCGGTCTGAACCGACTTCACGTCTTCGTCGGACTCGTCCTCCTTCAGAAGCTTCCTCCTCTTCTGATACTTGGGTTTGTGGGCGGGGCTAGCAGCAGTTCTCCTCTTGTAGCCCAGGTTAACCGACGGCACCCAGTCCGGGTTCGTGTCATCGTAGAGCTTGGCGGGTTGGCCTGGGGACAACAACGAGACGTGAATACAAAAACTGAAACCAGCAGAAGAAAGGAGCCGAATAATAGCTAAAAAAAACAGACAAAAAGCTACAATTAGCATAAAAAATTAAAGGTAGCAGCTCTGTAATTTATTTATCCATCAACACAATTTAAAATAAGATGTGTTGCCTGAAATCTGTGATTTTCACACAATTTGGAACAATTTCTTACAAAGAGCAAATCTTTCCCAGTAAACTGGTCATGTGACTAAGAAATAAAGGCGTCCAGGGGCTCCAGGGGATTAATCGTTATCGGATAAATAACACAATTAATCGTGATTTTTTTTTTTGCAATATTGCCCAACCCTATCCTAACATAACAACAATAACAAATATAATAGTTTGTTGGAGCAGCAAATTAGTCTTTCTGTGGGTTTACCCAACATAAGCTCGTCAAAATCTAGCACAATGATAACTGATCTACTTCCCACAGCTCCACCATTTTTTTAAAATAAAAACTATTTTTAATGATTGGGAAATGAGATAACATTGATCTTGTGATAAAACGTGCTGTAACAATCATTTATCGAAGTTTCACAAACCTCTAACATGGTTTAAAACATTGTGTAATCAGTGTAGAATAATCTAGTTCAGGTTAGAAGAGCCTAAGCGTTTTATTTTTTAAAGTAGAGCAGATTAAAAATGCTCAGGGTAATGAATATTTATATTTATATTTCCTGAATCAGAAAAGAGCTTCATCTTAATAAAAACATTTATTTTCTACCCTGACACATTAAAGCTTTAATGAATTATTGTTCAGCTCTATCATGAAACACCTGCAGGTTAACCTGACCCTGTAAAAAGTGATCACTGCAGACCCGTGAACACACCGAGGGCTGCCAGGCCCTCCGGTTGATGGCTCTGATCCACCGCTGCCTCCGGGCCTCCTCCACAGGTAAGCGGTAAAACGACAGGTTGGCTTTACTTCCTTTTCTGTTTCTGCAGCCGAACGCGCAGCAGCTGAACACCATGTTACAGATTTATCAGCTCAATAAAAGCGTTTTCAAACTACCAACTCTCTGTCGTTTTACTGTACAGGAGTTTACCGCGTGGTTTTGTGTTGTTTTGGTGATGTCCATCATGGCGGAGAGGAGCGTGACGTCACACGCAAAGGGTTTGGAAAATATATATATATATTTTTTTTTTCGAAAATAAAAATTAAAAGCAGAAATTTATTTAACGTGAACCAAAAATAAAAAACAAATAAAAATAGTTAATAGGAATTTAAAGTTATCCTTGTTTTTACGTACAGTACGTCTTACGTCATCGCGCTGCTCCTTAAGCGGAAGTATCCACGTGAAGTTGTTCGACTCGTGTCGGGAGGCCTTCTTCAGGTAATCGGACCCGAACCCTCCAACAAAGCTCGTGTTTGAAGCCGAACCCCCAAAGAACCGAGTTTGTCAGTGTCCGGAAGCCGAACCGTAGAGTTCTGAACGAACCCGACCCGGTCCCGCTGGTCCTCCTCGGCAGCATCATGGCCGTCAGAGCCTCCTTTGAGAAGAACAACGAGGTGGGCTGCTTCGCCAAACTCACCAACACCTACTGCCTGGTGGCCATCGGCGGCTCGGAGAACTTCTACAGGTGAGCTGCTCACCTGGCCGCCACGCGACACGTCACTGTCAGCTGTGGGAGCGCGAGGCTGACCGGAAGTAGCGGAGTTATTACATGAAAACTCTTCATCTTCATCAGGTTTCTGTCGTTTGTTAGTGGGTAATTTCTCCCTGAGCTTTGACTGAAAGGCAAGTGGACAGGACTAATCAGGGTCCACAGGTTTTCTGTCAGGTTCAGGTCTGGGTCAGGTTCAGGTCTGGGGTTCAGATTCAACATTCTAAGTGTTTTTGTCATATATACAGATGGAACATGTTTCCCTGAGCAGTGAAGTTCTTACATTGCCGAACACAGTGAATAACAAGAGACAAGCAGACGGATAAAACGAAGAGTGACAGGATACTACAGAAAGTACGGAGCCTTAGAAGGGACATGGGGAGACAAAAAAGATCCTGACTTATTTCTCAGGATCCTGAGAAAGAAAGTCTGGATCCTGAGGAATAAGTCAGGATTTCTCAGGATCCAAACTTTCTTTCTCAGGATCCAGACTTTCTTTCTCAGGATCCAAACTTTCTTTCTCAGGATCCAGACTTTCTTTCTCAGGATCCAAACTTTCTTTCTCAGG